AGTACTGTTTTTACTTTATTAACAACAACTTGGATATTTTTTTTGAATTTTTTAATTGCTACAGTCCTCTCCTTCTACCATTTTTCATTTTTTCAAAGCCTTACTTCAAGTTTCTTAATAGTAAGAACACTTCCTTTTTTTAACTATGTACCACATTTTTGATTTATGTTTTGGTTTTCCTAAATCTACATCCAGATACTACAGTGTTGAATATGCAGTAGTACTGTCCTTCTAATTTGGCTCTTCATCTAATCATTCTACAGTATGATCTAATAGATTTTTCAGTTGAAGAGATTTTATTGGATCCAAGTCAGACCTTGGGATTGTTAGATAAAGTGTAATCTTGTAATCTTGTTTAATTGAAGGAAGGTGGAAGGAGACAAGGACTTGGAGGTATAAATATAATGAGCATTATAATTATTATTTCTGACCATTTGTATATAAAATTATAATACGATAAAGATGAGACAATAATAATAATTATAGAAGACAAAAAATGGAAAAGAAAAAAAAAAGTTGAGGTGTCACACTTGCTTTGGTGTCACACTTGGTTTGCCCGACTATGAGCAACAGTGAAATAGGAGGGGAACCGGCTATTAAGCTGCAAATAGTTATATTTATAACTGCCGGTAGTATACTCTTCTCGAAGAAGGTCAAAGACCTAAGTTGTGGATCACTCCAATAACTTCTAACCCCCCTGAAACATGGGTCACGGATAGATAGTGGAATCCTGGTGTTAACCCCATACTAGAATTTATCAGAAATGCATTCTACACGATTTTACCTTACAGTAGGCGCGAGTAAAACGGGCCCTTGGTCTGGGAAGCGAGTAGGGAGTGGAAATGAATTAGCAAAAGCGGACCAAAAGTTCCAAATTCGGAAATCTCAGTTGGCGCTCAAACAGTAGGAATATGGGATCCGGAAGAATAGGAGATGTTTCCGATAGCACAGTATGTTGGATATCCCCTTCGTGCTGAATCCGCAGCTTTAATTTTGGTGAAAATTTACGCGCTCGGGGTTTGGCAAAATTCACATATGATACAAAATGGTTCACTTCTACGCCTGATCTTCTCGCCCGGTCGGATGCATTATGGTGCGGGAATGGACAAGAGTGAACCCTATTTAGGGGTGTGTTCAAAGGAGCATGGCAAACCCCTCCCCACTTCAAATCACGTGAGAAGAACCATACCAATGTAGGTGGGGGGAAGCTGAATAAAAATAAGTTTTTTTTTTTTAAATTAGTTAAGGCAACTGGAAGGAATGGTGTACTTAGTTTAAAAGCTGGAGATCAAAAAAATGCGACTAATCGTACCATGTACGGGCACTTGTACAGTTTAATGGACTCATAAGGAACAAGGCGAAACCGGAAGCAAGACATACAGCAACAAGGGCCAAGAATTTTGTGATGGTGGGGATTAGGCTCTTGTATTTATGCCTTATCACACGTTCTTTACCCTTCATAATCCGTCACTCACAGTCTTGGCAATTCTATTGCGCAACCTTTCAGGCCTCCCTCCGTGCCACATGGGTTGCACTCTCCCGTGCTTGCGCCACGGGTCTGTGCAGGAAATCGTGTTTGTTTCATTGTCGTGCTGAGAAATCCCGATTTCATGGCATCCCGAGCACGATACCTTATCCTGACAACGAAGCTTTTCCTATCATGGTTACTCGGGTAGGCTAGTGTTCCGCAGCACTCTGGTAGTAATCTCCGCTGCCAAGGGGATACAAATAGTCATAGCTCGAGGTATTTAGCTTCAGCCGATCAACCTCTCCAAAACTAATTCTTGGATTCTCAAACCTCCCTTGATAGTCGTCCCTGTCATTGTCTCTTCGGTTTTAGAGAGCTTAAGCTGATCTGGACCCGTCCGGGGCCCATCGAAGGTTTGAGGACCCCCGATTGAAAATGTTTGTTCCCTGGCCGGACAAACGAAGGAATTAGACTCACCTACCCTACTAATTTAACAATAAAGCACCTGTACTGGTATGGGTAAAACTTCTCCTTGGACAGTGCGGTTATTACGATAAGATTGGCTATCGCTGAGAAAAAATGCCAGCGGGAGAAAAACTACAGGCACTCGATGTGTGCCTCGCAAAAGCTGGCGACTCGCTGATGGACTCCAAGAATGAAGACCGAGCTGTAGGGCGCGAACTTGACGTTGGCATAAGTTGCCGAGGGCGTATCATTTGTTTCCGCGTGATGCAGACTGCGGGCAGCGTTTCCGCTATGGGGTATTTGGGGAAGTATATTTGGGGTGATTTTCTTCCCTCCCGCCGGCGCATTTTACGGATCTCCTGTTATTTCGGGCTACGTGCGACATGCCTGATGGCAATGGTGAGGAGAAATTCGGTAAACTAGGTTGATCTAGGGTACCCGGAGGAACATACCGTGGGTTGAATTAAACAAGCAGGAAACTAGCAGCCCAAATATGACCTGCAGGATTACATCTTGGGCCACTTCCGGGTGAATCCCTGAACTGCTGGGCTGGTATCGTGCCCCGGATTTCATCACGGGATAGATCCGCTCACTTAGCGAGGGTCTGGAGACTAGCCTGAATAGTACTGGCCGGTTGTTAAGATTCATATTTCCTATGGGGCTGGGGTTAGAGTAGGGACTGGCGGATGAGATGATGGCTAGGATATGTCTTTCCTCCTAGATTCTTTGGTTGTGGCGTAGTGTTTAGCGTATTTGGTACAGGCAAAGATCCTTGGGATTCAGCTTTATTCGCACGTCTAATAGTTTCTAGCGCTAATTTAAAGCAAAGCAAAGCCAGCGCCTGGAAACACTAAAAGACCCAGTGGTGAGAGTAAACACAAGCAATTACATCTTCCCATTATCTCCATCACAAGTTTTGTCCTCTCTCCAGTCAAATGGATCCGGCCACTTACTCTGCACCTTCAAGATTGTGACTAGTGCAGCACATTCGTTCGGTGAATGTTCGTTAGCTCTGACTGTAAGTGTTCTATCGTTGCCTTCTGCCTCTTTGCACAGTTTGCTATAGAGATGTCCGACGGAGTCGGCAACTTCCTTGAACAAAAGTCCGCGGGCTCGTACTTCTTCGTCAAGAACTGTAATGAATTCATCCGTGGTGCTCAGCTGGTCAAGTGCATCTTGTACCGCCACACGACTTATGATTTTCCCTAAGATTATACCCTGGTAGACGATACTTTCTGGACCTGGGTGTCAGTCACGGCTCAATGGGTGCGAGTTGTGATAGTATACCTAGCGCACCACGGAGGTTAAAATAATCATCCACCAGCATGGTTTTAGTTTTCACTGGAAAAGCCCCGCCCTATAGAGGGGTTAGAAATTGTATTAAGACTAAGAGGGGATATCTTACAAGGAGATTGCTGAGTTCGTCAAGCTTTTTCTCTAGCTTTTGCCCTTCCTTCTCATAGAGTGCCAGCCGCTCCTGCTTCTTGGCGGTGGTTTGAATATGCAAGTCCGGAAGATCCATCTGGGACCAAATATAAATCTCGCGGAGAATTTCTCTAGACCGTTGAAGCTTGGCTTCAAGATCTTGGCGGTCTTCATTAGATTTTGCCATTTTCTCATTCAATTTGCTAATCCGGTTCTTGCGTGCAGCCAGCGCTAGCTGCTGACGAGGAATGGCGAATGTGCGAGTGTAGCGGACGAAAGGGCGAAGGGTAGCCATTACGGAAGGGTGGAAGCTTAAAGGCAGGAGTGTGGCTGGCGGGGCGAGTAGGAGGGTGGCATCCTTTGTGAGATGTCTGACTGATATAGAGAAGAAAGACGGCTTATGCGGTGTGCGCGTGATAAACCGGCTGTGATATGCGGTAACCTGCTCAGGGCTAGTACTCTTAGGTTTGCTGTGTAGGATTGCGATGGAACGCCAACCGCCCCATGTACATATGGTGTCGTAGCTCAGAAATACTTTGCCCCTCTCGGGGTTTTGGGTGTAATTGAATAAAAACTGGGCGGGTCTCCCATTGCACCTTGGTTTCTGCTGCGAGTTTTCCGGTCCCCCGTTTTATGTAGAGTTCCACCATTCCAAGCAATACGAGAGAGTCCCCGATTCTCACTCTAGTATCATCTCCCAGGCGCTGACGCACGTGAATTTTCTCCACCAGTTACTCAGTTTTTTTGAGTTAGGCATATGATACCAAACTAAGGGCCTGTTTGGCACGACATGGAATAAAAAAAATAGGTTAGCTCTTGTTGAAAACAGAGCATTCTTTAGAATAAAAAAACTTTTTTTTAATGGCAATGCTGCTGCTTGACAAGTCCAGAGTTTTTTTTCTTTCTCTTAGACATGTGATTTGCATTTAAGGCATGCTGGTATGTGAGATTGTAGAGTGCCTTACACTTAAAAGATAACATACACCGTCCTTTAGGCAATGTATAATACTCAGTCATATCTGTAATCAGTAATATATCACACTTTAAATCCAGTATCTTGAGTAAGATATTAACTTTCATCCCCTACAACATCACAAATTAATAATATATTGGTTTCAATACACAATTATATATCCGTATCTAACTATTGTGTTTCGGAAACTTTCTTCTTTTCCCCCTGCAAATTGCAATTGAATAAAGGAAAAGTCACCTCCAATATTGAAATATCTTCTTTCCTCAAATGCTGCAGTTTCATTGTATACAACCCAGCAAGTTTATTGTTCAATCCTGTAGGGTTGTTGGTGATTTACTCAAGATATAAGGATTTAGGGTATTGTATTAGTTGCATATAGGATTCAGTATCACCGTTTGGGCACTGGATGAAGGATGAGATATCACGCTAGGACTGGTGGGTTTGCCTGTGATGCAGCACCAAAAATATGCTGAGAATGGAAACACCACGGTATTTTGTACCTACCAAACACCCCTTGAGAAACTTTCTTTAATTCAGTAGAAAAAAGAAAACCGGGACTAAGTAGGAAATAGCCAGCTTTTCTGACGTGCCAAACAGGACCTAGACAATTTTCCGGATAAACCTGTCGTGAAACCCTGGGGGTCCCCCAGATCACTATTGCCCCTGCCGGAATGGCTACGGCAAAAGCACGCGAGCCCTGCACTCCCAAGACAGAATTAAAGGTCAAACACCCATCTCCAATCAGGCCGACTTGACACTTTCTCTCCTTCTGTTAGCTGCAAGCACCGATCGCTGGAAAGATCTAGGCGAATCTGCCGGGATAGCCATGTGCATAAGGTTATAGGCATAGGGTAGAGTGGGGCTTTTTCGTGCGCTCTGGAACAGTGAGGGCAATATAAGTGACATCTTGAAGGAGACGCGTCTGTGGGGCATTGGCTGTGGTGCAGGGACCAAATATGATATAGTGCCATTCACTTAAAACGCCCACCTGGGTCCATGCAACACGTAACATTCAACCACCCTAGAAATTAATCCTATTAATTTTAATCTGTAAAATTCTACTAACCGTCTTCCTAATTCATAATACTTCCCAGGTGCAGGGACTACTTTCTGCTATGATTTTCTTCTATGGTTTTCCTAATAATATTGTTATCTTTGTGACATCTAATTTTACTTGGTATCAGTTCTTGTTTTTAATTATATCAAGACCAAATACTGTAAAGAACAAATCTGGCTCAACTCCAAGTCTGTATTACTACCTATAGTAATATACCCATAGGACCTATACAGTACTTTCCATATACAAGTTCCTCATGCACTACAGATGCATATACAACTCAATTGTGATAAGCTTCCATGATTGAACTAGTCCTTGCATGGTATTTTCATATCAGTGTATTTGGATTATTGTATATTGAGAGTTAAATTGTGTTAATCATATGATCTCATTCTAAATTGTGCAGAAAGTATGGAGCAATGCAGCTGCCTTTAGTTGTTAGGGTTAATTTCTAGGGCGGTTGAGTGTTACATGTTGCATGGACCCAGGTGGACATTTTAAATGAATGGCACCATACGTTTAAAGAAGGGTATTAAGCCTAAGGTCCAATGGCTCCCTGATCTCTCCCAAAGAGGGAGGGACAACAGTTGATAGAAAAATAGACCAACAACTGTCGGAAACATTCCTATGGTCCAAACGTATATGATGGCATCGCCCGCCTAGTGGCTCGTGAGGCCCTGTCACCCTTGTGACATCGCGCCATCTCTCGTCTCGCTAACAACTCCTATACACTATTTCCGCCGGGGCTCTATATAAACAGGCCCTAGATGCCAACAAAATAGGGAAATGCTGAAAGGCTAGCAATAAATACTGACAAACTCCACCTCGGGCTGTTGGCATCTCTGCCCCGCGGTCTAGGACTGATGGCCTGGGACTCTGTGGTATCCAATTCCTGCCTCGCCTAGATATTTTGCCACACTTCGCACATCTCCTAGGGACAGGTATGAAAATTTGCTATTGTGGCAACAATAAAAATCCCCCGAGTGGAGGAGCATCAGGTCATATTTCAAGTAACACAGAGCTATGGTGGGGGACCGTTTATAGCTCCCCGTGGGCTTTATTATTGATTCTGCTCTGCTGTATAGTGTTGTTCACGAGCCGGCTCGAGAGACCCCTGGACTCGAGCCGCCAAGAGGCTTGAGTCTAAAGTGGCCACGATACCTCTACACACTGCCATTATCACTCAAATCAACCAAAAATTGTATATAGCAACTTGAAAACAAATACAACTAGCCAAATGACCTTCCCACGATCCCCGAGTCCAATTTCTGACTCGAGTCGGCTCGTGGACCCCTGTTCGAGCCGGCTCGCGCCTAGTGACCACCTAGGCTCGAGGCCCCCCAGGCTCGAAGGGCTCGAGTCCGCTCGGCTCGTGCACAACACTACTGCTGTAGAGTAATGCTGGTTAATTTTCAATTAGCTTCCAGCAATCGCGGGCCTCGGGGGATTTAGTTCTAGACCGGGTAAGCGGGTGTGGGGCAGACGAGGTGGGGGGGGGGGGGGTTGGGCGAGGTTGCAAATGTCGAATATCCCTACCCATACATTGCGAGTAGATAGCACAACTGGTCACTGTATAGCGCTTAATGCGAGAAAAGAGGGGTCAATAGCTCTGCAGACGCCCCACTGTGGACCACGAGAAGTGTCCAGCAACACCCTGGATCTGACTCAATAGATTTATATGGGGAGCAGCGATAGGGAATCACCGGTACTGGCGCTGAAACTGGTACCTATCCTAACTCTCATTCACTGCAGGGCCAACCCGAGCACAGCAGCCCTCACCAACGGCCCTCGTCTTGCCTACTCATGTGATCAACTCATGCAAAAAACCGTATCGTGGAAAAGAGTTCTGGTGATTATCAGATTAGTGTGTTAGTATTGGGGTCCCGACACGCCGAAGGGATGTCTGAAGAATTAGGTCTGGGTTATTAGTCGGGTTGTGCGTATACTCGCAATCCTGCCTTTGGCCTGTCTGTCCCTTTCTTGTATTTCATGCCACCTTGGGACCTGCCGTGCTATTATCAGCCCGTGGTGAAGAGATAGGACGTTTAAAGGGATTACAAGAGACACTCCCCCGGCGGACAAGATATCGAATCCTTTCGCTGCACGTGTTCCCTTAGTAATATTTATCTAGCATCCTACCTGTAAAATTTAACCAAAGTAAAGAAAAACACCATTCCGAGTTGAGGCAATGTGCCGTAGAATACCAGTACAATTTCAGACCGGACAGCGCTTGGCCAATGATCAAAACCCACAGATAAGAGCACCCCCCCTCCTGTCAGTATGTCGGTATACTGTCCAGTCTCCATAACGATCCTAGAGCCAACGCTTCAGGGCTTATATTCCACCATCTTCACTTCCCTCCCCCAGCACACTTCTCTTTGGGTACGCTCCTACCGACTTACTGATCTCCTATCTTCCTGCATGGACCAACATCAAACATCCGGGCCAGGGTTTGACTAATAGTCACATTCCATCACTCATCTTCTTGGCCCACTGTAGGTTTGTATGGTGCAGAGCAGAGGAAAAGCCAATTTAAATTTTTCAGTTTAGAATTAACCAGAGGACAGAGGACAAGAATATTGTGGCTCCAACTTGACCCCCCTTGGTAAGCAGCGGGATACCAATCGAGCGAGGGGAATATATTAAATCGTTGGGAGATTGATTTTGTGTGGATTGGCTGAGTGACAAGTGGTCAGTCATGGCATCACAGTGATAAAAGTGCGTGCACGAGCACGTTGTAACATAATTCAATTAACGATAAGGAAACAAGAATTTGGTTATCAGGACCTTGGTGAATATTCCGCTAGTCCTCATCCTTAGCAATAAGTCGACAGTTATCGAGACATTCAATAGTCCCAATATTATCACTGTAGGAGCTCCCCATTTATTAATTAGAGAATAAGGACTTGCTTTTCCTGTGGCATCCATTATGGCCAATGAAAATTAAATAACGTGGGAGGCCTAGAGTCGTAAAGTGATGGTTAGCCAACTCGGTTACGGGGGCTCGATGGAACTTGTCCGAGTTGGCAAGACACGCAACCCAATCAAATCCAACTCTGATACTCGACTGCCCAATCAACTTAGCAAAGATTGTCCCGCTGGTTTTTCGTCTTACTCATATTTTACCTAAGGCTCGTTCTTTGGCCTTTTTCTGGTGTTCTCTAATGCCCGCAGGTCGGGAGTTTGAACCCTAGTGGTTATGAGACAACTTACTATTAGCATTTCTCATTCTACAATAATATTTATGAGCCTGTACCAATTAAAATGTGACTCTCGGACCTCAACCACAAAAAATATATTTTTGCATTTCCAACTAGCTAGGAAGGTTAAGTATGTCTTCAGTAGCTCAGAAAATATTTCTCGTCCTCCAATGACCTCTACGCCTGTTTTATTTGCAAAAAACTCAAAATTTGTAAAATCCACTTTTTGGTATCATAAATAGCCATTTCTTCTTAGCTACCTAGAGAACAAATAATAGCTGATTCTTATATAGTTGTTCTGTTATTTAAATTTAAAAGTATCTAGATTTACTGCTTTCTACAGGAAATGCTAACACAAAAGTGGCTCTATCTCAAAATATTTTTCTTAGGGTTGTTGTTGTTACAACACCTTTTTCCACTTTCAAGAAAATATACCAAGAGTCACGTTTTAATTGGTACAGTCTCAAATGAACTCTTTCGGAGAGGAAAAGGTTTGTGGAATGGGACCCCATGGTGCGAGATACTCTTTTCTGGCATTGTCTTACACCCGCTTTATTCAGAGTAGGGCATCGTTCGAACACCGCCAACTGCGGGTATGTACGGTCGAGGGGTATAGTACAGTGCACAAATCTCAACAATTCCTGCCCTGAAGCAAATTATGAATGATGTCATTCCCGTGGAATTGAGGCAGGAGGTTATCTGCAAAAGAAATAAAAAGCATGAACACAGAACAAAGCAAATAAAGACCCACAAAAACGTAAACCAGCCTAATTAGCCAACCTAACCAGCCACTGGATAAAAATTCCAACAGACCAACTGAATTGGTGCCAAACTTGACCCCTCATCACCCCACGTATGGAAATCCACCCCGAAAAACAGTCCCCCTAACAATAGAAAATAAAACAAATAAGAGAAGTAAATGTAGCAAACCCCCCCACATGAAAATGAACCTAGGAAATTAATAGACATACTTTTAGCCAGGGGGGGAATGCGATTACAAGTAGAGGGACTATTCAGTTGGTAAGGTGAAACCCGGGGAAAAAGGTGTCGCGGTGCAAAGTAGACGGTGTAAGGTGAAATTGACGATCCCATTTTAGTGATGGGCTACATATAGGATATCTTACGCTCCAGTGTGCACGAAAGGGGCCCAGGTAAGAAAATCGCCCGGCTTCCTGTCCCGGCATTTTTTCACAGCTTTGTGAAAAGCGGCGGAGACTAGATTGTGCCCATCGCCGTTCTCTTGATTTTGAAAAAGCAAGTGGTAGAAGTCCCTCGCGACTTCGCTGGATGCATGGTCATCTGTTTCCCACAGGTTCGCGAGCGTATGGCTAAACCCGGCTAACTGAAATGCACTGGCTAGGTGTATGACTTCGTCGGCTAAGATAACCGAGGAGTTCTTGGCTGAGGAGCAGGCTGAAAGGTATGCAAGCTGTGCATTTTGTGCAACCAAACCCGATATATCACGAGCCAGCAGTTTACTAGCACCCTCCCCATCCGGGTCGAACAGGAGCAAGTGGCTGTCTGAGGGGTTGATGCTAGACACTCCGTGGCAGGAAAAATGGACAATGTCGTGGTGCTGAAATTGCTTGAGGACTTCGGCAGGGTTGGGGTTCTTCAATACCGTAGTCTCGACCGGAGTTTTAGTAGTAGAATCAAGGATATGTTGAACTTCTGCATCAACACCGGGTAGACTTGTCGCACCTGGCGTTTCCGCCATCGGGATGAGAAGCAAGCGGGCATTCCGTTGTTTGAGAATTTTGGCTGTCTTCGAGTGTTCCATTGTAACGGAAGCGCCATATTTGTGGAATAGCTCTAGTTTTTTCTGACGTGCATAGGTGAGGGCTTTGATTGTCGGGATGTAAGACGAAATGGCGCGGCTTAAAGTGTTGCGTGTTGATCCCGGCGAATGATCCCCAGCCGCATGGAAAGGCGCCATGCTTAATTTCCCTACTCCAATCCACCAAACCCGCTTCAAATTGGACCCCTGAACACCATCACTGACAATCGTCCCATCGTGTTCAAGCTTGTCAAAAACAGGCCCTACTGCGGAGTCCCATAGCCAGATGAGGAGGTCTTTTATTTTTCTATTATCCTTGCCTCTCTTAATCCAGCCTCCTCCTCCGAAATTAGCCAATTGCCTCATCCAGTCGGCTGTTTCCTCATAATTCAATTTCGGGAGTTCTAATGAAGTTATAGCTGAGGTGGTGACAATTATGGCGTCGCTCCTGTACCCAGTGCAGTTGAAGATAATGATAGCGCCATTTATTGCCGATTTCATCAGATCCTCCCGAGTGGGGGAGAGCAGGAATCCATCATACCCGGGTAACATGCGAATCCGTGCTAAACTTTCTTCCATCTCATTGACGGCCTCCCAACGTCTCTGCATAACACGATTTCGGTACCGATCAGGTGTTTCATCACTTGCGTAGTTCGTTTCCTCTATGGGCGAGTCAATCTCAAGTCGAAGGCTGTCAAATTGGCTAAATTCAAGAGGGTGATCTGTCCTAAGATCTGAAACTTCGGACCTTGAATCGATTGCGAAGCCTATAATTATTCCACGACCGAGCTCTAGCAACTTGAGACTGTCATACGCGTCTCTCCTGGCCAGAAGAGCGACAGAAGCAGCGGTTGAGGCTACCCCAGAAAGCTGCGACAGGATGTGTTGTTGGTCATCTCGCCTTAGTAACCGTAGATTCACACTAGACATCAAACTAACGGCCTTCTCTAGCAAGGAACTTGATTCATCAAAGTTTCCGTTTGAAGATAGCAATGATGCTGCTCTGCGAGCCGCTTCAATTCGAGCCCCAGGCGGTGAAGTTTGGCAATCAAATGCCTCGCGATATAGTCGAAGGCTTTGATCGAAGTCTTCGGGGGTAGATACTATCGAGAACCTCGATTCAAAAAGTCCGCCTAGGGCGGCACACACGGTTGCTCGAGAGGGATCATCTCCTGGAGAAGCCTCTAGCGCGTTTTCTCCGTGCTTGATGCCTTTTTCGAGGTCCCTGAGGTCCCCCGTCGATTCAAACCTGTCCAAGTAATTTTGTCCCAGGTTATTGTGCATGACAGCTCGGTAGGGGTGATCCTGAGGGGTAGCACCCAGTGAGTCCTCACTGTTCCTGATTGCGAATTGGAGGTCATTAGGATCTCCTGTCAGATGAAACCTCATAGAGAAACAGCTTCCGAGGGAGTTTTGTATTTGAGCTCGGAGGGGAGGATCCTGGGGGGTGGTAGCCAGCGCCTGTACTCCGTAGTTAATAGCTTTTCCTAGGTCTTGAGGGTCTCTTGTCCGCTGAAACCTCCTATTGAAACTGATTACCAGGTTGCTCTGTATGGTACCTCGGAGAGGGTGATCTTCGGGGGTAGCAGCTAGGGCCCCTTCCCCGTGTTTAACAGCCTCCCCGAGGTCACTAAAGTCCCCTATCCGTTGGAACCTCGTCAAGAAACTGGTTCCCAGATTATTCTGCATTGATACACGGATAGGGTGATCTTGAGGGGTAGAAGCTAGCCCATCTTCGCTATTCTTAATCGCTTTGTGGAGATCATCAAGGTCTCCTATCCGTCGAAACCTCGTAGCTAGATTACTTGCTAGGAGATGGTGCATGGCTGCTCTGAGGGGGTGATCATGAGGGATGGCCGCTAGTGCCTCTTCGCTGTGCTTTATGCCTTTTTGGAGGTCGAGGATGTCTCCTATCCGCTCAAACCTATGAGATAATAAAAGTCCCAAACCATACCACCTGCACGGTCGATCGGGGTGATCTTGTGGGGTAGCATCTAATGCTTCTTTACTGTGCTTAATTCCCTGTTCGAGATCTCCAAGGTTTCCTAAGCGCTTAAACCTGTCGCTGAGCCAGCTTCCCAAAACGCTAAGAGTAGCAGGGCGTGACGGGTCTCCAGGAGCACTAGCAGCGAGTGCCTCCTCGCCGTGCTTAATGGCTTCTTGGAGGTCATTAAGATCTCCTTTCCGCGTAAACCTACGACCGAAGCAGCACCCCAGATTATGCTGCCTGGAGACTCTAGAGCGGTGATCCAGTGGGGTAGCAGCTAGCGCCTCTTCGCTATTCTCAATGGCTTTTTGTAGGTCATCAAGGCCTCCCATACGGCAATACCTTACCGAGAGTGTTGCTGCAAGGTTATCTTGTTTTTGTGCTCGGTTGGAGTGATCTTGAGGGGTAGCATCTAGTGCTGCTTCGGAGTGCTCAATCGCTTTTTGGAGGTCACCAAGGTCACCGATCCGCTCAAACCTAGTGAGGAACATTTCCCCCAGGTTTCCGTATCTGTCCGCTCGATCGGGGTGGTTTTGAGGGGTAGAAGCTAGCGCCTCTTCGCAGTATTTTATCGATTCTTGAAGGTCGGCGAGGTCTCCCATCCGCTCAAACCTCTGGGCGAGAATTTTCCCCAGGCATTCAAGTACGGGTGCTCGGTCAGGGTGATCTTGAGTGATAGCGTTGAGTGCCTCTTTGCTGTGCATCATGGCCCGTTGGAGGTCACCAAGCTCTCCCATCGGGTTAAAACTCTCAGAAAACCTAACCCCGAGGTTGTGGTGTCTCCGCGCTCGTGCGGGGTGATCCCGAGGGGTCGCAGCTAGAGCCTCTTCGCTATGCAGAATGGCCTTTCGGAGGTCTCCAGGGTCTCCCATTCGCTGAAACCCAGCAAAGAAACAGCTTCCCAGGGCATGGTGCGCCCTCGCTCGGAAGTCACAATCCTGAGGGGTTGTATCTAGTGCATCTTTGTTGTACCTGGTAGCCTTTTGGAGGTCATCAAGGTTTCCTATCCGCTCAAATCTCGAGAGTAACC